AAAGTTTGACTTTATTTGGTCTTCCATTAGAGCAAAGATTTTACTACTACTATGATAGATCGTATCCGTTATTCGGTTTACAACAGAACAACCCACCAAGTGCTTTCTAAGAGAAGAAGAAGAAGAAGAAGAAGAAGAAGAACTCGAACTCTTTTACGAACGGGTCGGTGTTACTTCAAAGAACAAGAAAGAAGATGAGAATGTGTCCTGAGATTTTATATACATATTACATACACATATATATACATATACATATGCATATACATATATATAACGCTTCGTAAACACTCGAGGGAGTAAACATTACCAAAGGGAGAAAACGTAGTTCTTCTCTTCGTAACTCTAAACCTTCTTCCTTACTTTTTTCTCTCTCTCTTTTTCTGCTTGTTTTTTTATTTCAACTATAAAAAATTCGAAGGAAGTGAAAGGGTCGATGGGAAAAAAAAATAAAAATACGAGAGAAAGAATATTGACAAATTCTAATTCTCGAAAAGATTTCATATTAAATTATTACACTTTCTTAAATAATAATAATAATAATAATAATAATAAAACACGAACAAATAAATCAAATGATTAATTACGTATTTACGAAAAATATTTCATATAAAATGAATTCACGTTTGTGTATCAAAAATTCGAATGAGAAGAAAAAAAAACAACATATAAATAAATAATAATTATATAATATCGATTATAGAAAATTAATTAACGTATATAAAATAAAATAAAAAATAGAATCTCGTTCACGAAAAAATATATAATATAAATATAATAAAAATATATATTTCACGTTCTTGAACAATCGATTTAATATAAGAAAAAGGAAACAGATCGAAAGGAAAAATAAAATTTGATCTGAAAACGAGAGCAAATCAACACGACGCATACTAAAATACAAACAAACACACACACACACACACAGACACAGCCAACACATCATATAAACGTAAAATAAAAGAATAAAAGATAAAAATAAAGAACAACGGGTCAGGTTCAAAGCTATACTACTACGATGAGGTCGATCTAACACAGTGGCAAGAATAGCAAAGTGTGGGTTGCTTGACAGGAACGATAATAGGATCCGTCAGAGTAATAATGACGGCATGATGCCGATGAGTCATGCAACAGGAAGTCCTTTTCCCGTGAACCACTACGACCGGACACCTTCCGTTCGTTCTTCTAACTGGTACAAGGTGAAATTCAATCCGAAATCAATCGATCAATCGATCAATTCGAGAACAAATCCAAAAGAAATTCATTCGAGATCTTTTTATTCTAATCGTTCAACTATATTTTCATTTATATCTCATCGTAAATGTATTATATATATATATATATATATATGTATATTTCTAATAAATAATTATATTTGTCATAATATTTTAACACTCATTCTATCATATACATAATATATGTGTGTGTGGGAATATTTAAATAATATATTTATATATTTTTGATTTTTAACAAAATTATAAATTAATCTAAATAATATTAATTCATTCATCTTAAAATTCATATACGTGATATACTTATTTCTTACTCTTAATGTCAAGAGTCAAATTGATTAATATTTAAATTAAATCATTTTACTAACGTGTGCATCTAAAATGCACTTCTGCATAGAAATACTTTCACCTTCTTTTCTATCTGATATACAAAATATTGTGAAGAAAAAACAAAAAACAATTGAGTTGTCACAAGTTATATATATAAATATTAATTAACAATAATGTTATATATATAAATTATTTAATATATATAATATTATTAATAAATTTAATATATATAAAAATTAATTAACAAATCATTCAATATATTATAATCCCTGATCGCAAATATATATATCCGCATTGCATTTCATTTATTAGCATTAAAAGATAAAAGATAAAAACAACAAAATAAATAGATAAACATATATATAAAGAAATATACACGTTAGATTAGGTGAGATATCAAATATGTTGATCGTCCTTAGGCTACATTTCGCACAATGCAAGTATAATACCAAAGACTATCAAGAGTAAATATAGACACATACATAAATGCATTTATGCATGCATGCATACATAATTATTACGTAGATATAGTAATATACGTGCAAGTAAATGCATATCCTATGCAGTGAAAAAGGAACACATATAATATGGGTGGGTGGGTGGTTGTTTGGTAGCGATCTCTCTTTCCAAGAATATAATTCTCTCGACCTTGAACCTTCCACCATGCTACCGTATTCCTACGGCAATGCAGCACCACCACCACCACCACCACCACTAGCAGTTGCAGTAAACTTTCTGCTGCGTATGCGTTAACTCGAACGGTACTGCATAATTAATGCGCAATTCGATAACACTGCAGTTACTTACGAATCTCGAGATAAAAAAAAAAAACCCATAGTAATGCAATACAAAAAAAAAAAGAAGAAGAAGAAAAGGGAAGACAAAAAATATGAAATAAATCAATCCCATACGTGAGAAAAATTATATGTTTCTGATCATAAATAAATAATAACGTGCATTATCGTGAGTGTTATTGCATAACTTGTGATTAAGAAGAATAAATAAGAGAGAAAGAAATTAAAAAAAAAAAAATCATTTTCTATCTGAATGAACAAGATAATAAATAAATAAATAAAAAATAAGACGAGAAAGGCAATCTCGTAGCATGTTTTGGCATCTTTCCAATAGTTCATCAATCCCCCCCCTTTTTTACTTCCCTATTTCTTCTTCCATTTTATTTCTATCTCTATTTATCTTAATCTCATTTCTTTTTCTCTATACTATATATTATCTAAAGATAATCACGTAAGGAAAAAAAGAAAAAAAAAATGCCTTTCTCTCGTTGATCCTTTCATTTTCGATTCCCCCATAACCCCTCCCCCTTCTACTCCTCTTCTTTCACCCTTCGTTTTAGCACGTGGACACGTCGTCTATGAAGTTTGTTGGATCCTAATTTCACCAGAACACAACGTGGGTTTCCTACCCTTTCCCTTTTCCCTTTACCTTCCCTTTCTTAGTACTCAAACTTCTTCTTTTGTCTCACCCTCAATGAAATAGAGAAATAGAAAGAGATAGTGAGATGATAGAAAAGGGGAAGATTAAATCAATTAGATGGGGATGTGGGAGGAGGGGGGAGGGTAGACGAGTGATGATACAATAAAAACTGACGTGACGTTACTTCGTGTTACTCCCTTTTTCGTTTCTAAATATATATATAGATATATTATATCCCATAAGATGAGAAATGTGTTTACTATAGTCTTCTTAAACCTAATCGAGTTATATTTCTCTTCTCGTCAACTAAATTTGACCTGCTAGTCTTATGTGTATACAATTTTATCTCTTACACCTAATATATATATATATATATATATATGTATATATGCTTGTATGTACATAGAAATATATA